TCTTTTAAATTCCTGTGAATAACACTATTATAAATATTTATCTATAAAATTTTGTGCGGACATAAGTTTTCATTTCTCTTGGGTATTTACTTAGGAGTGAACCTTCTGGGTTATATGGTAACTCAATATTTAACTTTTTAAGCAACTACTGAGAAATTGCACTGTTTTCCAAGTAGGCTGTACAATTTTACATCCCCAGTGGCAGTATATCAGGGTTCTAGTTTCCCCACATCCTTAATATCATTTATGACCTGCTTTATTACAGTCTCTGACTTAGAAAGATTCAACTTAAAATTTGACTTTACATTGGTGTAAAAGTAATCACATTCAGTAGAAACTGAACTTTGGATTTTAAACCATATCCTAATCTGTTGCAATGCTGGGTGGTGGAGGGAGCCATGGCTACCAGTAAACAACTCATACGCTGTTCTGTGTGAGCCTGTGCTGCTAAGTTCTGCTGCTATATCCCATAAGCTTTTGCTTAACCCAAGGCCCAATGAGCTTTTTAAAACTTACATATCACCCTTTTACTTCTGCCTTTAAACAGCCCCAAACTACCTGTAACGTGTAGAATAAATCCTGTGTCCTCACTGTGGCCTACAGAATTTTGCAAGATCTGGCTTTCTCTAATTTCACCTTCTACCCTTGGCATCATGCTCCCTCATACTGCACCTTGCAAAGCCTCCATATTGGCCGCTAGCCAGCCAGTGTAATCTCAGTGCATTTGTTTCTTATTCCTAATTCCTGGAAGTTCCTTCCCCAGACATCTGCATGACTTGCCCCTTTCTAATTCAACTTTCTGCTCAAATGTTGCCTGGCCAGTGAGGCCATCTCTGACCAGTCTTTCTAAACAAGTAATTTCCCTGATCTCAATCACTTGCTATCTCTTTACCCTTACACTGCTTATTATATACTACCCATCCATATATTTAAAACCCACACACATTAGATGTAAATGGCTCATTCTTTCAACCAAATACCAATATTACAAGGACAATGAGGCAATGATATCCTAGAAAAATAGAGTAATAAGTGTTTTTTTTTTAAAGACTGATAGAATAAAAAAGAACAATCTGAAATTCTAAGTGTGGACACAGAACCTCCCTTCTCTTTCATTATGACCAGGGAGTACTACTTACTATTCTTCACAGCACGTACTGCTCCTGACATTGTACAGTTCCATGGCTCAGCCCTACATCTTCAGAGCTTGGCATGTCCGATGCTCAATATGCAAAAAGTATTACAACTAAAATCAAGATCATAATAGGCATAAAGCATATGCTTTGGAGGTCAAAGCAGCAGAGTATGGATGGAAGTGGGATAGGTGGAGTAGAGGGCAGAGAAATAAGGAGTAGAGATTTGGGAAATGGGAGGAGTTAAGAGCAGCACCAGAGTAGGAAACCAAGAGCCTGCCCTCTGCAAATTTCCTAACTCATTCTACTTGCTGGCTCATTTCACATGGCTTTCCAACAAAGCCTGCAGATAATCTGGGTAAGATGCAACTTGTTGAGTTCATATTAACTTTACTTATTGGGACATAGGTCCCATTTTTATTGTTTAGGTTAAAATCTGGACTCTGATGAGAAACACTAACAATGTGTTGGTTTTAAAGATTTATTTTATTTGAAACTCAGACTTGCAGAAGTCCAAACACTTGGGCCATCTTTTGCTGCTTTCCCAAGCACATTATCAGGGAGCCAGATCAGAAATAGAGTAGTTAGATCTCGACCCTGCACCCATATGGGATGCCTGCTCTGCAGACTGCAGCTTAACATGCTGTATCACAGTACTGGTCCCAAGCACCAACAAGTTAGAAGTTTAGAGTTTATATAAGAGCTGTCCAGTTAGCACTGTGGCACAGCACTGGTTCAAGTCATGGCTGCTTCACTTTCAATCCAGCTCCCTGCAAATGTACCTGGGAAAGCAGCAGAAGACGGACCAACTCTTTTGTTTCCTGTACCCACATAGGAGACTAGAAGAAACTCCTAGCTCCTTGCTTCTGCCTGGTCCAGCCCAGTTCCTTTGGCCATTGTGGCCATTTGGGGTGAACCAGTAAGCTGAAGATCTGTCTCTTTTTAACACTGCCTTTCAAATAAAAAATAGATATGAGCTGTCCAAGAGCCACAGAGTACATGTAGCTATTGTTGAAACATGATAGTCTGAATTTGAAATGTGCTGTAACAAAACACACACATCAGACTTTGAAGACTTTGTATGAAATGAAAATAAATATATATTTGAAATTTAAATATTGATTATACATCAAAATAATCCTTTGGGGCAGGCATTGTGGTAAAGGCAGGCTAAGTTGCCATTTGCGTCACCCATATTCATTCCTTGTTGGGGGTGCCAGTTGAGTCACAGCTATTCTACTTTGAAACTAGCTTCCTGCTAAGACATTCTCCCACATGGAAGACTTAGATGGTGTTTCCGGCTCCTAGCTTTGGCTAGACCTAATGTTGGCTCTTCTGGGCTTTTTGGGGAATGAATCAAAGGATGGATGATCTCTTTCTCCACCCACCCCTCATGACTCTTTCAAGCAGATGAACAAAACACTTTAAATATACAGGATTACATAAAATATATTATTAAAATTAATTTCACCGGGCCTGATGTGGTAGCCTAGTGGTTAAAGACCTCATCTTGCACACACTGGGATCCCATATGTGCATCGGTTCTAATCCTGATGGCTCTGATTCCCATCTGCTTGTGTCCTGGGAAAGCAGTTGAGGACAGTCCAAAAGCCTTGGGACCCTGCACCGGCATGGGAGACCCAGAAGAGGTTCTGGGTTCCTGGCTTCATATCAGCAGAGCCTGGCCATTGTGGCCACTTTGGGAGTGAATCAATGGATGGAAGATCTTCCTTTCTCTCCTCATCCTCTCTTTATATCTTCCTTTCCAATAAATCTTTTAAAAAATTAATTTCAATTTTTAGAAAACTGAGCAACAGGAAGAGAGAAAAGGCAGAAAGAAAGCTCTGAACCCCACGTGTACACAAGAACTGGGGCTGGATCAGGTCAAAACCAGGAGCTGGGAACACATGGTCTCTCCTATGGGTGGCAGGGATCCAGCTACTTGAGCCATCACATGCCGCCTCCCAGGATCTGTATTAGCAGGAAGCCCAGGACTCCAACCCCAGCACTCTAATAATAGGATGTGGGTGTGTCTTAACTGTTAGGACAAAGGCCTACCTTACTTTCTATTTTTCCTTTTTATTTAAGACATGCCCACTGGTGCTAGTGCTGTGGCACAGAGGGTGAAGCTGCTTCCTGTGGTACCAACATCCCAAATGCTACCTGACTTGATCCAGCTCCTGGCTAATGCACCTGAAAGAGCAGTGGAGGATACCCCAAGTGTTTGGGTCCCTGCACCCATGTAGGTGACACAGAAGAAGCTTTTGGCTTCAGAACAGCCCAGTTCTGGCCACTGTGGCTATCTGGGGAGTGAACCAGCAAGTGGAAGATGTTGCTGTTTGTTTCTGTCTCTTCCTCTCTGTTTAACTCTAGTAAATCAATCTTAGGGAAATTTTTTAAATTATGCACGTGACTCATACAGTTTGTATTATAATTTGATTAGATAATCCCATTTTCTCCTTGGGGCCCATAAGAACAATACCTGAAATTCAGAGTTTTCCCAAGAAATACTGGCTAAAGGCAGTAACCTAGTCTGAGGAGGGTCTTCAAGCTAAGAATCGGCAAACTCCTGTTTCTTTTCATAAAGTGTTCATTTAGTCTAAAACCTGGCTATCTGGAGAGGCAGCGGAAGAGGAATGCAGAGGAAATGTGTGAGGCTGCTGATGAGCTAGCCTGAGGAGGCTGTGGGTTCCCAGCTGTATTTACACTCAGCTTCAGTGAGTAAACACCACTTCAGTGGGGCCAGCCCAAATGTTTATTTCTTTGAAAATACCATTTGCAGAGCAAGAGCACTTGTTTCACAGTCTGTTGCAGGGAGACAGATCTACACGATTCTTCCAATTCTGCTGCTCACCCATTTGATGACTTCAGAACCATTCCCACTTGCGGGCCACTGTGTTGTTGCCTCCATTGAGAGAAATATTTTGTTTCAATATGGGACATGAAGACAGCAAATGGGTTAAAGGACTTAATAAGCGGTTTGCATAATAAGGCTTGTATTAACACAGTTCTTCTAAAAACTGCTTTGATCGCTTCCATTTTCTGTAATGAGCAAGCTACTCCCTCCCTTTCCTCATGAAATGGTGCCTTGGCATACAGCCATCAGCAGTCCTGATGGGCCAGACCATTCAAGTGGATTTGAAGCTACTTGTAAGCAATTGTAGCAATTCTCCATTCCCAGGGCAGTGGAAAAAAATTTTGAACTTAAGTGGTTAGCTTGGAGGGGGCAGGGGGGCAAAAGAAGAGAAAAGAACAATGTCACAAATTACAATAAAGTAAGGTAGGGGTTTTTGATTTCCAAATATGGAACACACTTTAGGAGGAAGCACTGAACTATTCAATAAGGAGCATCCATAAAAGCAAGGTTTGTGAGATGCTTTCCTTCCTCCAGGCCCCTGCCACACCTTCATTCTCCTCTAAGAGATGCTGGGGAAGGGGGCTGGTGGTGCACTGAGAGCCACTGACAGATTCTAGAATTTGGAAATGCTTTTGCTTTGCTGTAAATAAATGCTGTGGGCCTCATCAGTGCAATGAGAAAGTAATACTCCTCATGAATATTTTAGATTTTAAATCTCAGCATAGTGTGCATGGTAAATCATACTTCGAAAGTGTTCTTTTAAAATCCAACAACAAAACAAGCAGCAGCTTAGACTACCGGAGCTTTAAGCACTATGGGCGCCTTCTCAAGGGCTGGGCCCGTACTGGGTCCATGGTGATGCAGACAGATAAAGCAGGGTCAGGATGAAATCCTGTGCAGTTCCAAGGTATTAGTTGGTACACTTGCCTATATAGAGGGTCCCCTCCCATATGATACCCAAGACACACACATTTCATGTAAACCCTGTGTGGTGGAGAAGGGCATCTTACCTGCAGTAAAGGCATCAGCTGTAAGCCCAGCGCTTGCTCGTAGAGCAAGTTGAGTTCTGCGCAACTGGAGAAGGAGAGCTTGGAGGTGTAGAGGTAATAGTGCACGTGCCGGAAGGTGGAGCCATCGCGGTCGATGAACAGCCTCTGGCTCTCAGAAGCCGTCAAGGCAGCGGCTTCCTTCCACAGCAGGGAGTCTGGGAACTGAGCAAGTTTGCTTCTGGGCACTGAGAAATGCCAACCCCCAACGTTGAAGTGAAACAAGTCCTCAGCCGAGTCCTGAGGCCCACCAGGCTCCTCCTAGGGGGAGACAGAAAGAGCTAGGCAAGAAAAGGAAATAGAAGAGCAGCCAGATTGAGAAGGAAGAACTAAAACTACCTCTGTGTGCCATGCACATAATTGTGTGGATAGAAAATTCTCAGGAAGGGTCTAGTGCAATAGCCTAGTGGCCAAATCATCATCTTGCACGCCCAGGACCCAATCTGGGTGCTGGTTCGAGTTCCCACTGCTCCACTTCCCCTTCCAGCTCCTTGCTTGTGGCCTCAGAAAGCAGAAGAGGATGGCCCAAAGCCTTGGGACCCTGCACACACGTGGGAGACCTGGAAGAAGCTCCTGGCTCCTGGTTTCAGTTTGGTCAGCTCTGGTCAACCATTGTGACCACTTGGGGAGTAAATCAGCACACAGAAGATCTTCTGCTCTGTCTTTCCCTTTCTCTGACTTCACAATAAAAATACACTTTTTAAATAGTAAAAATAATAAGAACTGCATCTAAGACTTTGCCAAGGAAGGTAAATAAATTGCATGCAATTAAGAAGTGAACTCCATGTCTTCTACGGTAAGGCTGGTCTACAGATTCACAAGAGCAAGAGGCCAGCACTGTGGCACAGTGGGTTAACCTGCTGTTTGCAACACCGATATCCATATGGTGTGTGCCAGCTTGTGTCCTAGCTGCTCTACTTTCAATCTAGTCTCCTACGTAACGCACCTAGGAGGGGCAGCAGCACACGGCTCAAGTGCTTGAGCCCCTGCCCCTCATGGGGGAGACTCAGGTGGAAATCCTGGCTCCTGGCTATAGCCTGGTCTATTCTGGGTTGTTGGGGCCATTTGAATGAACCAGTGGAATTTCTCTTCCTGTCTCATATATTCAAAAATTAATACATGAAAAAAAGGAAGAGGAAGAAGGGAAGGAGCAGCAAGTACATTTGCCACTTTGAGGCCAAGAGTATTAGAGGGCACTTGAAGAGGATTCAGTGTTGTCATGATTCACTGTAACTATGCTGGAACTCTCCATTTTTGCCTTCTGTTGCTCAAGTCCTTGACAGCGACACCCATTTCTGATCTCGGGCCCTCTTTCTGCCAAGGATAGAGTACCACAACACAAAGATGATGGAGTCAGGGCTCAGTGAGTTAGCCTCCTTCCACACAAGGGCTCTCAAGACGCGTCTTCCGGAGTGGGAGAAGGGGCAAGGGCGTGGCTGCTCTTTCCAGAATTTTCTTCTCAGAGAGCACTCAGCGGAAAGACGGTCAGGACAGCGCCATCCCAGCCTGGCGTAGTCCTCAGTCAGTCCCCTCCTCACGGATCCTTCTACCCCTAGAGCTCCTTCCTAACAAGCCCTTTCCACACCTAGGCTCCCAAGGCGGCACCTCACCGCCTCAGAGCCCGACGTCCCAGCCTTGGCACACCCGGAGCACCCCGACCCTCCCATCCTCAACTTCTCACAGCCTTACCCGACTCCGCATCCCCCCAGCACGCAGACAGGAAGATCATTACCACATGTGCCCAGACCCTGGAGTGCCCCCAACTCAGGCCTAAATCTCCTCATCCGGTAATTCTTCCCTCAGACTCGGTTGCCCAAATCCCTCAAAGCTGGGGTTACCCGGCCCCCCAACCATGTAGCCCTCTTCCTGACCCACTACGCGCCCCCCTCTTCGCCCTCTGGGCTGTTTCGGTGTTGCTGGCACTCCCGTCAGGGTGGCCTCCGTACCATATCGGGGGTCTTGCGGCCGGCGGGTAGACGCGCGACCCGACCACTAACGGCCCGCGGGAGCGCGGCGGCGCGCGCGGGGCGGGGCCTGGCCCGGGGGCGGGGCCTGGCCCGAGGGGCGGGGCTTGGAGCGTCAGGGGCGGTGAGCGGTGGGCGGGGATGGCGGAGCAGTGGGATCTGGACGAGGAGGGCATCCGCCGCCTGGGGGCGCTGAGCCTGGAGCAGACGGGTAGGACCAGGCAGGGAGGTCTCCGGCAGGGAGCTTGGGATGAGAACTGGAGGTGGGGGACCCGCGGAGGTGCGGTCCTGAGGAGGGGGCGAACGGTGTGGCCAAGGAGGGAGAAACTGAGGCAGCAGAGGTGCCACTAGAGAAGGCGGAGGAACTGAAGTAACGGGAGTCAGGGCGGGAAGGGGTCTGGGGAGGCTGCCACAGAATACAGGGGGCAGACAGGGGCACTCTATGAATGGGGACACAGGAGGAGTTGAGGCCCAAGGGCGTTGATGGTGGTAGTTCAAGAAGCTACCTCCTCAGGAGCGCTTTTCCTGGTTGGAGGAAGTGGGAAAGGACACTTGTTATCATCCAGCTGCCACATCAAGAACTTGACCATGTCTTCGACCCATCTAGATGGTTGGCTTCTTTTCTAAGGGGTTGGGGGCTAATGTAATTGCTAGTGTCCCAAGTCCTGATTTCACCCTGGAGGTGACCCGGAGCTAAAAGAGTGCCTGCGGACCCTGCTTTACTGTGCCTCTGGCAGACTAACCTGCCCTTTGAAAGTCCAAGAGTAAACATGTGGGGAAAGTTAGCAACAGAGGGAAAAGTTGTGAATTTGTTGCTCACTGTCCCATTCGTTACTGCCGTGCTTTCTCCGGCGTTATTTCCTTCCCATAACAAGCCTATTAGACAGATATTGACCCCATTTTACAGATTAGCAAGATCAAGTGGAGATTCTTGGCCAAAATGATACAGCTGACAAAATGACACAGCCAAGGGCTCAAAAACCCAGGATTTAGGTTTCAGGGTCTGTGCCCCAAGCGTGACAAAGAGAGACCTCTCTTGTATCCTCTAGTACAAGTTTGATAATCAGGGTACTAATTACTAATGTTTCCGCTCTTTCTGGAACATGCCCCTACCCAGAGCTGACTAAAGATAATGACAGGAGGCATGCATCTGTAAGTTGGCAGAGAACTTTCATCCTGTCCACTCTGAGTTCTCTCTTTCCTTTTCCCAATTTGTTTTCCTAGAAATTCTGCAGTTCTGCTTTTCACCTTTAATGTATCTGTAGTTCACTTTTGTCCACGATATGTGATATCACTGTATAAGAATTTTTAATATTAATATCCAACTCCGTTTTAGTTTTCTGTTTGTCTTCCTGTACCGATCTGACATTTTTGTCATGACTGTGGCATGACAGCATGTTGTGATACTGGGTAAAGTCAGCCCCATTCCTCCTTTTTACCTCTCCTGCTAGGAAGTATGTAAGCCTCGTGTTCTTTCTTTTGTAATAGCCACTGAATAAATCACCTGTATACACTGTTTAAGAGATTGTACTTTTTGTACATAGACTGTTAAAGAGGTTGTACAAGATGGTACTTTTCTAATCATTGCTTTCTTTTTCATTGGCTGTAGTACTTCTATGTGTAGAAATTTACTAGCATCAACTATTTGGTTATCCTTAGACACAGTTTGTGAAGGACACAGTATAAAAACCTAACTTTTTTTTTTCCACTTTATTTGCCATTTTTGCAGATAGCCACTTGTTTTCTTAGCTTCCCTCAAAGATGACCAGGGAGGGTTGTTTTGTTTTCCCACTCTGATTACTCATGTAAATTCATTGATTTACACATGTCTCATGTGTTCTAATCCATTACATTTATAGTCATGGTGAATGCCTAACTGATTTCAACTTTAACTACTGGGAGCTCTTGTAAGTTAACTCCCAAAGGCTTTTTTTCACCTAGATATTATAATTATTTCTAACTTTCATTGTCATAAGCCAGCTGTATTAGAGGTCATTAATTCAACTTTCAAATGAATTGTAACTGGTATAGAGAGAATGCTTATTTTCATGAATAGAACAAAAATTTTCCTATTTGGGATTATTTAACCTTATCTATAAAAATTGGAAAATCGTTGTCTTGTTCTTAACATCTGTGTTTGATTTGTCCTCTGATCTGTCTTCATTCTTTATAACACTGAAACCAAATGCATAGCCACTTATCTGTCCTTGTGGCCCTTTATCATGTGAATGTTAATTCTCTTTCTCTTTAAAAATGCTACAGAAAGGAGTGCTGTGGTACAGCAGGTTAAGCTACTTCTTGGGCAGGTTACATCCCAGATCCGAGTGCTTGGGATCAAGTCCTGTCTCTGCTTCTGATCCAGTTTTTTATTCCTGGGCATCTGGAGAAGCACTAGATGATGGCTCAGGTGCTTGGCCCCTGAGAGATTCCTGCTCCCAGTTCAACCTGGCCAGCCCTGCTATTGTAGGCATTTAGGAAACCATGAGAAGGCAGGTTGATGAACGCCCTCCCCCACCCTCTCTGTCACACTGTCTTTCAAATAAACAAACATTTAAAAAAATAAAAGTTACAATGTCCCCTCCTCAAAATAAACAACAGTAAAAGACATGAGAAAGGAAATGTGACTGTCGTTAGCTTTTGTCACTTGGTAACAGACTTTCAGAGTATTAGATCATTGCATACCACTGAACCAACAACATATTGTCCTCCACGTTTGAAAGATATGTTGCATTTTAAAAATAAAGATAATTCACATACTCTAAAAATCACCCATTAAAAGTATACGATTCAGAGTCACTTAGCACATCCCCAGTGTTGTGCAATCATCACTACTGTTTAGTTCCAGAACTAAACATTAGCCAGTCATCCTTCATTTCCCACGCCCCCTCACCCCTGGCAAGCACAGAACTGCTTTCTGTCTCTATGGCTTTGCCTCTTCTGGATAGTTCATGTACGGAGAATCATAGTTTCAGTCCTTGTCCATCTGCCTTCTCCATCATGTTTCAAGATGTATCCATTCTGAACATAGTGTCAGCAGGGTGAGACCTGGAAAGCCCTCTGAACTGAGCAGGAACCCCTTCTGTGTAGAAGGAAGGTCCATATAAGAAGATGAGAGTTTACTAGGGAAACTCAGATGCAGGGTTTCCACCCTGGGCAGCAGGGAGTGTGGGCACAGCTGCAGCCAGCCCAAGATTTCATGCTTGGGAGCCAGGGATCTGACGCTTATGTCACATTTCGTTGCTGGTCTCTAGGAGTAAGCCCTTAGGCTGCTAACTGGATTGTCCTACTCTATCTGAAAAGGCCCTGCTACCTTCTGAACTATAGCTAGGAATGACAGGTAGTCAGCAAGATGGTGATGTTGTGATTTACTGTTGAACAATCAATACTTTATTCTTTTTTTAAAAAAAAAGATTTTTTTTAAAGTTTTTTTTTTAAAGGTTTTAGGTCTATAGAAAACTTGGACATGAAGTACAGAGTTCCCATACATCCTTTTCCCCCTCTCTCACATCTTCTCCTTATCTCTACCCACAGCTTCCTCTATTGTTGATACGTTGTAATAGTATGGTACTTTTGCTGTACTTGATGATTCAATATTGCTACATTAACTAGAGCCCTTAGTTTGTTTTAGGGTTTACTCTTTATGCTGTGCAGGTCAACGGATTCTAACAAATGTAGGTGCTGAGTCCGCCATCATTGTCTCAAATAGACAATTTAGACACTGTCCTAAAAATCCTCAGTGTCCCATGTCTTCTTTCTCTCATCCCAACCCCCAAACAGCCACTGATCTTTTCACTGTTTCCTTTTTCAGAATGTGAAACCACTTTATGAGTGTACATCAGGAAGTTCAGGGAAAAGCGAAATTAAAAGTATGAGTTTATTTCAGCAGGAAATATTTTTAAATATATGTAATATTTCTACATAATTCTCATATGTGTTTTTAAAATAGGTTTATTTGCTTGAAAGGCAGAGTTAGAGAAAACTTAAATCTGCTAGTTCACTCTCCATCCAAATGGCCACAAGCCAGGCCAAAGCCAAGAGCCTAAATTTCCATCAGGGTCTCCTATATGGGTGTCCTTTCTTCTGTTTTCCCAGACCCATCAACAGGGAACTGGATCGTAACTTTTGGCAATCATAAATAAAATTACTGTAAATATTTGCATGTAGGTCTTTGTATGGACATAAAGTCTCAAGTCACTTTTGTAAATACCAAGGGACACGAGTACCAGACCAACTAGTAAGTTATGTTGGACATTTGAAGAATCCACCAAAGTGTCCTCTAAGATAGCAGAGCTGTTTTGTATTCTCACTAGCATTAGGTTAGAGAATCTGATGCCCCATATCCTCCCAATTTAACATTGTCACTGTTTCAGATTTTAACTATTCTAATTACTGTGTAGTGGTATCTTATTAGTTTAATTTCTAATTTCCTAATGACTTACAAAGTTGGGCTTTTTCATGTTTACCATGTGTTTGTCTTTTATTGGTGAAGTGTCTGTTCAAATCTTTTGCTCATTTTTGGATTGGATTGTGTTTTTATTGTTGTGTTTCAAGGATTCTTTGTATATTTTGGATATTAGCTCTTTGTCACAGCATATGTTTTACAAATATTTTTGGTCTGTGGCTTATTTTTTTATCCTCTCCACACTGTCTTTCCTTTTAGGGAGAAACCTAAAATTTTAGTGGCATCCAACTTCTCAAGTTTGTTTTTCTTTCACAGGTGTGCCACTTTTTTAAAGA